AGAATTCTCCTCTGTCTCAGCACTCTACTGAACTGAGTGCACTCTGCAGAGATATAGTTAATGAGGGACCCAATTTAGAGAAAATCTTTTATTTCGAGCCAAAAGAAAATTAACTGCCTCCTATGTACTGGTTTAAAATGCAAAGCTACCACTTTTATTAAAAAAAGAAATTCTTTGGTTTTTGAATTTCAAATTCTGGAATACATTTTCCCCACCAAGGGAAATTTCTAGTAAGCTCTCGTTGTGTAAATCCTCACTGTAGGTAAACTTGGATTTTATCATTACGCTATCAAGTTTGAACATGGAAGAGAATGTTAAGTAGTCCAATACAAGTGCTAATTATTATAAAGCTTCGCGGTTGAAGAAAGCTAGAAAACAAAGGGAAATGAAGCACAGAAGGACGCACACGCTTTATGAAGTCCTGCTTAGGGTAAGACTTTGCTTCCTCTAAAATAGAGTTTGGTCAATTGGTCATATATTTTTGGTCCTATCTCTTTTAACACACAACATTGGTTTGGTTTAATAACCCAAGAGAACCTTTAAATATTTCATAGCTGATAGTCTTGATGAGAACTTAACTCGTACCAAAGTTATTTTTTATTTATGGGCTTCTGGGGCATCCATAGTGCTCCACGAAGCACGGAAAAGACAAGTTTATGCTCTAGGCCTTCTTAGTGAGTGCTTAGCATTTAGATAGCAGTGACAGGGACAAGCATGACTGGCTTTGTGAGTTATTTGGAATCATTGCCTCCTGGTAGGAATGACATGCTGTCCTGCTTGGGGGAAAATGATTATACAGGGTTTGGTCACCAGTCACTGCACTTGGAGTAATTTTTCTAGAAGTAGAGATGAGTATTTAAGAGACTGAAGGATTGGGGAGGGTAGATGGGGAAAAGAAAGCATTTGAAATGAGGGTAACAGCATGACCAAGGCACTAAGGTGCTGTATCTGGTATATTTATGGGACATATGTGGGGGATTAGAATTAAATGAGGCTGAGTAGTATGGTAGGCCCAGATTATGAAGGGTCTGGAGAGGCAGGCCTTGGAATTCTAGCAAATGGAAATACAAAGGTTTCTATTGAAGGTTTTCGAGTGGAGGAATGCCATAATAGTAATTTTTTTATTGAAGGGTTACCATACACATGTAATGATATAAGTGCTCTTACATGCTTTGACTCACGGCAACCCTGTAACTATTTTCAGTGTAACTATTTTTTTTAGATAAAGAAATGGCACAGTAAAGTCACTGAGGTAGGATTTGAACCCAGGCTGTTCAGCTCTAGAACCAATACACTTAATCAGTCATCTGTCTGGTGGTCCAGCTATCTTCCAGCTGGTGTGGCTCTGTGTTTGAGCATCGACCCATGCACCAAGAGGTCGCCAGTTTAATTTCCGGTCAGGGCACATACAAGGTTGACTTGAAAGGGGAAAACAAACAAACCTGGTGACAAGGCTACTTAGGAGGCTATGGCAATATTCCTGGCATCTCAGAAACCATGTGCGTCCTTGCTTCCTGCCTTCCCGTCCCTTGATTTATCCATCCCTTCTGGCCCCATTGTTTTCTGCCTCCTACCTTGCTCCCCTGCAATCCATTCTCCACTCTGCAGCCAGAGGATCTTTGTAAAGAACAAGTTGGAGCATGTCACTTCTTTGATTAAACCTTCCATGTAAAATCCAAACTCAGGTTACAAGGTCCTTCCTGACTCTCCTTGTCCTCTCCAGCCCCATTTCTAGGCACCTGGGTCCTTTCACACCAGTACATGTTAACTGTTTTTACACTGTCACAGCCCACTTATTAAACCAATGTATTTGTTGAATGAAGAAAGTCAATGAGGCCCTGGCCAATTTGGCTCAGCGTTTGAGCATACACCCGCAGACCAGAGAGTCCCGGGTTCGGTTCCCGCTAGGGGCACATACCACAAAAAAAAGAAAGAAAGTCAATGAGTAGGAATGGAGATTAATAGGTGGATATGATTAATAGGCAGGTGTTTGGTTTTAACACTTCCTTTCCACCTATAGGCCTGAGGCAAAGAAACCCATTCCTGGGCTTTGGCAATCTTTTCTTCTAGAACCTGTCTAGCAAGTGTTCTCCCTCTTGGTGCTGCCCTTTGGAGGGTCAGTTTCCTGGCTTCTAGCTCTGCTGCCCAGAAGCCCTGGGTCTGGCCGTGTTCACTGCGGCCCCAGTGCCAGGAAGCCAGCCTCAGACACCCTCACTGGTCGGCAGCCTTGGGAAGAGAATTCATATCATTTCAAAGACAAAGGAGAGGATGATTCAAAGATGAGTAGACGGTTTCAAGGTGGCTGACTCAGAATGATTAAGGGACGAAATCTGGAGGAGGCAAAGGGGGAGAGCAGTGGCCAGGACGCTGAAGGGCAGCGGGACCTCCGGAGGCAGCACAGCTGGATTTCACTCCCCCACTGTCCCCAGCCTCAGCTCACCTTCCCTCGGGTGGAGCCAATCACAGCACCTTTATGAATTAAAACTGAAATATTTAAAAATACTAATTCATAGCCGAACAATAAAAACCCATTATATATTGATACATTTTCTTTTTAAAAAATTTTCTTTTCTTTATTGATTTTAGAGAGAGAGGAAGGGAGAGGGAGAGAGAGATAGAAACATTGATGAGAGAGAACATCGATTGGTCGCCTCCTGCATGCCCCCCACTGCATGTGCCCTGACCGGGAATTGAACTGGCGACCTCTTGGTGCATGGGTCGATGCTCAAACACAGAGCCACACCAGCTGGACGACACATTTTCTAATTGTAATATTCTATTGTATAAGCATATCCTAATTTGTTTCTTTTTTTGTTTTAATCCTCACCTGAGGATATTTTTCTATTCTTCAGATAGAGTGGGAGGGAGGGAGGGAGGGAAGGAGGGAGAGAGAGAAAGAGAGAGAGAGAGAGAGAGAGAGAGAGAGAGAGAGAGAGAGAGAGAGAAACATTGATGTGAGAGGGGCACATCAACTGGTTGCCTCCCGCATGACCCTAACCATGGCTGGGGATGAACTGCAACCAAGGTATGTGTTCTTGACTGGAATCGAACCTGTGACTCATTGGTCCACAGGCTGATGCTCTAACCACTGAGCAAAACCAGCCAGGGCCATAACTTATTTCTTAATTCTCCGGAGGAGTGGAATGGCTGGGTGGTAGAGTATGGACATTTTTAACTTTAAAGAGAAGTTTGATCATGTCTAATGAAATGGTTGCACCATAAAATGAAAAATAATCATTTTTTTCCCCAAAAGTATTTGGAAGAGTAGCATTGGTTTATGTTTGCTGTAGGTCTCCTTAATTGACGGCGGATGGATGAACATACAGTCTGTCGCAGATCACGCTGGGTAGCCTCCGAAAAGTGCCACTGTGCACTTGTGAGAGAATGAGAGCTAAACAGGCAGATAGTGTCTGGGTGCTATTTTGAGATAGTCGGGACCTCAGTGACCGCCTGAAGGAGTCTCAGGGATCTCCCAGGGGTCCCCAGAGCCCACTTTGAGAAGCTGTAAGATCATTTTGAGGGGGGGGGGGGAAACAAAACTTTTTCAATCTGTTAATAAAGGTCATGCCCAAAATTAGATTGCATACCACCTCCATCACGTGAACAAAAAGTAGAGTCTGACAATATCAAGTGTTTCTGAGGAGGGGAAAGCGCAGGAGCTCACCCCCTCTGCTGGCAGGAGCACACGTTGGGTCAGCCGCCTGTCCGACCTGCGGAGCGCTCCCTCACGCTCCCTCACGCTCCCTCACGCTCCCTCACGCTCCTCCCTCACGCTCCTCCCTCACGCTCCTCCCTCACGCTCCTCCCTCACGCTCCTCCCTCACGCTCCTCCCTCACGCTCCTCCCTCACGCTCCCGGCTCACCTCCCACCAGCTACCCGCACCTCAGAGAACCAGGGAACAGGGCGTGGCAGCTTCACACAATAGAACACTTCAACTAAACACCACAGTGAATAGTAACAGTAACACGATGCTACAGTAAGAATTCACGAGTGCCATGTTAATATGAACATATCTCAAAAACGCTGTTGAGCAAAAACTGAATAAAAGATGAAAGTCCAGGGCAGCATTCATGTAAAGTTTGAAAATATGCCAAACAAAACTCTGTTGCTGATGGGCACACATGGAGTGAAATTATAGAGTCATGCCTGGGATGAGAAATGCCAAACTTAGGACAGTGGTCACCCCTGAAGAGTGAGGACAGGTAATGAAATCATGGAGGAGTTTTGGGGGGGGGGGGCCTTAACTATATCTGTAATGTTTTACCTATTTATTTTTACAGTCTGAATTTAAAAATTCAGTCAAGTTCTGTTTAAACATGTATTTATCTGGGGAAGAGAATATGCAAGAAAACAAGGCCATATAAAAATTAAAACTCTCTGCAAAAAGCCCGTGGGCAGTGACTCCCAACTCCTCCACTCACACAGACAGGGTCCAGTAAGGAGCAGCGGGTTCCAACTACTCATCTGTAATAGATTCTTTGGCACTTAGCATGGATTCTCTGAATAAGACATTTAAGCACATGGCCTAAAGGCCTAGGCCGGGCTTGTCTGCTCAGCTCACAGAAACCTATTAACTTCGCAGCCTGCCTGACCAGTGGCAAGAGGTCAGCAGGGTTGAAAAGTTCGTCCCACGGAAGGTTTGTTCTGACAGAGTCAGGAACAGATCCTCCCCCTTCAGCCTTGCCCGACACTCCCTAACCTCTCTTTCCAGCTGGGTTTTGGGATGGGGACCCTCACATTTCTGAGTCAGTCTACATTGGTGGGAATAGGATCCCAGTCTGGCAGGACAGTTAGGGCTGGATGGTCTGGGAATTGGGGCCAGGAGATAAGGCGTGGAGGGCGAGCCTGCCTGCCTGAATCTCTGAATTGGAGCAACTCGATTCTTGGCCAGCATTAGAATCATCCCTCACTGATCTTTTGCTAAGGCCTGTTTTACTTCCTCCTTTCCTGCCTCATGCATTGTCTTTGACCTGAGTTTCTCTCTTCTGTTCCCCTGTAGAAAAAGGCCACAGTCCCATGGGGCCTGCCGGGCCTGCCACACAGTAGACACTTGGCCATTGTTGACTTCAGAATTCCTTCACAGGCAGGTTTAGTTAGAAGGAAGGATTTGAAGATGTGTTTATCTGTCATTTACACAAGATGGAGGCAACGTTGCCCCTGATGGAGAGATGGAGGTCATCCTTCCCGCTGTTGTCATATCTAAGTCGGTCTCCCAAAGAGCCCAGATGGCTGCGGAAGCTCTTCACCTGCTGGAGGTTTGACCTTTGAAACAGCCAACGTGTCTGAGCAGCCGTGTTGAGCCATGGGGAAGCTCTCAGACTGTGATGAGAGATCACGATGCCACTGTGGAGGACGTGGATGCAGCCACAGATGCAGGGCCACACTGGGTGGAGAGAGGAGCTGCGGAAAGATTTTTGTCGGTGGTATTAAAGAAGACGCTGGAGAACATCACCCAAGAGATTGTTCTGAACTATGGGAAATGAAGTGATTGACATCATGACTGACCGAGGCAGTGGCAAGGAGAGGCTGGCTTCTGTAACCGCTGATGACCATGACTTGCTTCTGTAACCGCTGATGACCATGACTCTGTAGACAAGATTGTCATTCAGAAATACCATCCTGTGAATGGTCACAACTGTGAAGCAAGGCAGCCCTGTCTAAGCACGAGATGGCTAGTGCTCCATCCAGCCAAGGAGGTCGACGTGGCTTGGAAACTTCGAAGGTGGTCATGGGGGAAAGCCAGTGGCCGAGGGGGCTCTGGTGGCAGCCGTGGTGGTGGTGAATTGGTGGCATCAGGGACAGCTGTAATGGATTTGGTGATGCTGGAAGCAGTTTTGAAGGTGACAGAAGCTACAATGATTTTGGCAGTTGCAACAATCAATCTTCAGATTGTGGACCCGTGAAAGGAGGAAATTTTGGAGGCAGAAGCTCTGGCCCTTATGCTGGTGGAGGCCAGTACTTTGCCAAACCATGAAACCAAGGTGGCTGTGGCGGGTCCGGCAGCAGCAGCAGCCGTGGCAGAGGCAGAGGTTTTAATTACTGCCAGCAAACAAAGCTTAGCTGGAGAGGAGAGCCAGAGACGTGACAGGGACCTCCAGGTTACAGCGGATTCGTGAGCTCCGCCAAGCTCAGTGGGAGCAGGGCCTCGCTGCTACAAAGAAGACGTTCCAGTCAACACTCATGTGGATGAACGGGCAAAATACTTGAGGACTGTATTTGTGACTAATTGTATGACAGGTTATTTTAGTCTCTGTTTTATGGAAAGTGTAAAGTATTCCGACAAAGGGCTTTAATGTATATTTTGTGTGTGTGTGAGCCCATGCTATTAAATGTAATAGTCTGATCATGACGCTGAATAAATGTCTTTAAATAAAAAAGAAACATAGGTACAATTTATTAAAAATACATTTTAAATGATAAGTTTTTAACAATAATAATAACATTTAAAAAAAGACACTACTCATCATTTCAACCCAGATGCTTTCATTTTTGGACATTCCTTTTCAGTCCTTATTCCACTGACATGTTTATGCGGCTCTAGGTGACCGGGGCATAGGCTTTTTGTCTCTCTCTCCTCACTACACACTCTCTATGCTCCTGTCCAGTCCTCATACTTACTTTTTTTCTCTTTTGGAAGCAGCTCTTTCTTTTTTTTCTTTTTTACTTTTATTGAGATATAATTGACCTATAACATTGTGTACATTTTATGTGTACAACATACTAATTTGATATAGGTAAATTGCAAAATGATTACCACAGTAAGTTTGGTTAACATCCATCACCTCAGATAGTTACAGTATTTTTCTTGTGATGAGAACTTTTAATATCCTCTTAGCAACTTTGAAACATACAACACAGTATTATTGTTAATTATAGTCACCGTTTATCTTGTAACTGGAAATTTGTACTTTTGGTTTTTTATATTCTACATGCACACACATTTTTTTAAGGCATGGCAGTAGTCTGTTGAGTGCATATTAATGGGTTAGAGAAAGTGTTCTTTGTTCTAATTCAGGGAGACCATGAAGACCTCTTGGAGGTGATTCAAGAATTAAAAGCTACAGTAGTTGTAGCATATTTACAATAGTATCTAGACCGAGTAAAGGCTGACTAAATGTTGGCTGCTATTGTTATCTATTGCTATGTCTTCACCTGTGTTCTTTTATGGAGCCCGGCCCCTTTAATGAAAGTCTGGGCCTCTCCAGTGACACCCTGCCACTCTCTCTATCCATTGAGAGACAAAGGAAAAGATAGTTGATAACTCTGGATCTCAGCAACTTTATTAACTTTACCTTCCTACTTTTGTGGAAGAGTGGCTTTCGATGAGGGGAGAGTGGGGCCAGAGCAGGAGCTCTGGACTGAGGCAATTGCAAAAGTCCTGGGGCCATTCATTCCCATTCATTTGAGCTACAACAAACATTTTTTGAGCACCACCATTTTCTTTTGAGCCATTCACTAAGCAAGCCTGCTGGGCCTGAAAATACAGATGAAAGGTGTTTTCTGCTCTCAAGTTGCTCACTGTGTAGAGAGAAAGATGTTAAATGCAGAAATAGTACAGGGAAGGATGCTCACCTAGGAGCTCAGGGGGGAGCCTAACCTACGCGGTGCTGATGCTCAAGCTGAGCTGGGGAGGGTCTTTCTGGGAATAGTCAGTTTGTTAGATAGTGACATTAGAAAACTCAGGAGCCACGTCACAAAAGACCATGTGTGCTGTGATTGGAGGGTCTCCCCCCAGCCTGCGATGTAAGAAGTTGTAAGGGACAGAGGAAATGGGTGATGAAGGTTTGCTTTTTCCTCCCTCACATTTTCTTTTGTTTCCTCCTCTACTGCCCCTACAGATATGTCCTACAATAGCTTACAAGGTTATAGTTGGGGAGGAGGAGAGGAGAGGAGAGACAAAAGAAGAGAAACCAAATAATGACAGTGGAGAGGAGAGGAGAATTTTGGGAACCACCTGGCTGGTACCATCATTTGTATTTAAGACATGTATGTAATTTAGGCATCTGAAAGCTAGAGACTGTCCTAGAAAATAAATTTCCCATGCTGCACAGCAATTCATCAGCCCTGAACTTCATCTCCAAGTTATTTATGAGTTTATATAACTTGAGAAAATAACAGGCAAGTTTTTTCTGAGTTTGGTTCTTCATTTAGTAAGTTTATTTTGGAACTTTTTTTTTTTTTTTCTTCCCATGACCAAGTTAAAAGTTAGGTTCACACAGTAAAAGGTGAAGAGTATCGATGTTTTGGGCAAATAAGGCCGTGATTCTGATAATTCCTAATCCCAAACCATTTTTTCCCCCTCAATCATGAAGCAATTAAACAAAGTGAGCTGGTGTTTTTACTTGAGATATATGAATAACCATGACTATAGATTTAGCAGAAGATATATTAACATGCCAACTTTGTAAGGTTTTTTAAAAAAGCATTTTAACCTTTTTTAACTTCTGTGAAGTTAAAAAAACATAAAGTTTTAAAAAAATAGAGCTTGATTTAAATATCTTTGCTTCTACGATATGAGTCTAAGCTATCTAAGTGATGCCTAGGATCTATTTGAACATCTGAGAGAATGCATTGATTCCTTTAGCAATACTTTTAAAGCAGTCATTTCAGTGAACTCCTTAGAAGGTATATGAAAACTTTTTAGTGGAACAGCTGTGATTTAGGAGTGATAAAGCTTTCAACTGTAAGAATAAAGCACACAATGTTTTATATCCATCATGGTCCAAAAGATCCTAGATGTCATAGTAGAGTTTAGTTTTGAAGCAAGAAATAGTAATTAATATCGACTAGAAAAGTCCAGTAGATCATTCAGAAGCCTCATGTTAAAGAAACTGTGAGAGGAAAATAACACAGTGATTTCTTCAAAATGGGGTGTAAAAGTAAACGGATGGGGGAACATTGTAGGGAAAAATGTTATAGCTTATCAATTGTTTTCCTTTTAAATATTTTCCCAAAATAATAAACCTGTAGAAGTTACATGCTGTGCAATTAGTAATTTTCCCTGTATCTCTTTTAGTTTTTCTTTCCCTTTTTCTCCTGTCTCTGCCTGTGGCCTCAGAGGCAGAGTTGGAAGGCATGTGCTTCTGGGAACCAGCACAGGGAGAGAAAGGATAGACCCAGCGAGCAGTGACCTCAGTCAGGAGTACGCTCAGCTGCACGGATGAGAGACCTGGCTCCTTTGGCATAGGGAAGGAAGCGGGTGTTTTCTTTCTGAGTCCAGCAGTCTGGGCTGGGCGGTCCAGAGCAGGTGCCCGAGGAGGGACTCGGACTCCTTCCTGCTGCTCTCCCGTCATCCTGGCCCAATGTCAGGCATTGTTTATGCTCCAGGCAAGAAAAAGGGGTTAGAATTGGTGCGCAGGTACAAAGCAGAGGCCTGTGGAGTTGGTTACCTGGAATCTCCACCCTTTTTGTTTCCACTTGCAATCAGCCAGCACTGATTCCCATGGCCACCTCTAACCACAAGGAAATCTCGGAGAGGGGAGGGTTTCTCCCTTCTATTGCCCCAAGTAGAATCAAGTTCTCTTGATAAGGAAGAAGGGGAGAATGCTTTTATTCTTGATTTTAAAAGTACTTAGTGTATTCTGTTTGCCACTAAATGGAAGTTAGGATTGACCTTTTTCTTATGACCTTTCATCCATGCACTTAATAGTAGACATTCAACAAAGTGGATTGATTGACAGATTGACTCATGTTACCATGAGTAATTTTTTTTGTCTTTGTTTTTGTTAATCCTCACCCAAGGATATTTTTCTATTGATTTTTTTTTTTTTTTTTTTTTTTTTTAGATAGAGTGGAAGGGAGGGAGGGAGGGAGAGAGAGAAAGAAACATAGATGTGAGAGAGACACATTGATTGGTTAACTCCCACATGAATCCAACCGGGCTGGGGACGAACCTGCAACCTGGGTACGTGCCCTTGACTGGGAATCAATCCTGTGACCCTTTGGTCTGTGGGCCAATGCTCTAACTGCTGAGACTGGCCAGGATGTTACCAGTAATTTTTAAGCATACTTCATATCAATATACTAGGATAGTTACTGATGAAATATATGCTTCTCTGCCTTTGAGGGACTTAGTTGTAATTTCAGGAATTCAGTTCTATAAAATAATTAGACAACAATCTGACTAATATAAAGTATATTGTCTTCATTTATGTTCTGTTTTCTCTTGATTCATGATGTTAATGTGCCTGTTGAACTGGACTTGGTTCCAGGGGTGTTTTTATTAAATTATTTGGTTAAGCCCTGGCTGGTTTGGCTTAGTGATTAGAGCATCAGCCCGTGGACCAAAGAGTTGCAGGTTCAATTCCAGCCAAGGGCATGTACCCTGGCCTTGGATGGGGTTGTGCAGGAGGCATCCAGTTGATGTGTCTCTCTCACATCGATGTCTCTCTCTCCCTCTCTCTCTCCCTCTATCTGAAGATAAATGGAAAAATATCCTCGGGTGAGGATTAAAAAAAAATTGTTTGGTTAAATGTGACCAGTGGTGTAGAAAAGCATAAAGGGGTATTAGCCATTTGAATTCTCATTGCATCATGGTGTGTTGGATGGTCACCCATCCCTTCTGCTTCTCAGTTTCTCTGTGACATAGAGGAGGTAGCAGTGCGAGCCATGCGGCATAGGCACTGGGTAGGTGAGAGGCTACAGAAGACAATGAGGAGCATCCATGGGCTTGGAAATCAGACTACATGGATTTCTCTTCCAGGTCTGTCATTTACTAGCTGTTTAATCAGAACCATTGCCTCAGTTTCCCTATCTGTAAAGTGAGGGGAACTACAGAGGGCTAATGTGGAGACTGAGTTATATACACTCAGTGTTTAGAAAGAACTTGGCACATAAATACTCAATAAAAGTTAGCTCTATTATATAGTATTTCTAATTGTTCACTTAGAGTAAAATACGATCAGTCTAAAGTACAGGCTTGTTTTTCTCCCGTGCATATTTTCATGAGTGCTTGCATGGCCATCGCCTCCTCCTTCCCTCCTCCATCTCTTCTCCCTTCCCCTCCTCCTGTGTCTGCTTCCACATCTCCGGGCCAGAGGGGACAGGGAGCTGCTAAGGAGGCTCCTGAGACTGGGAGCAGCAGCCCTGAAGGCTGAATGCCCTTGTGATCGACTCGCTGAAGGACAAAGAAAGCCATGGGACCTGCCAGCAGAGATGTTGATTTCAGCTGTCACACATGTTCTGTTTTGGACTCTCCTTGGGTCTCTTGACCCTACCCTGCAGCAGTTTGAAATGAATTTTATTAGTCTTTCAGGAATCCTCACATCTATTTTTCTCTCTCAGTATCTGGTATCAAAGAGACATGAGAGG